CAAAGGGCTTCGCGGAGCGGCCGCGGCGGCATCGCCGCCCTCCCTGCGCGGCCGGGGGGCGCCTGCCGGCACCCGCCTGCGCGGGGCTGCGGGGAAGAGCGCTCCGAAAGGGCGCGGGGGGCGCGGGAGAGTCACTCCCCCTTTCAAGGGGGGAAAATACCCCTTCCATGTGGGAAAAGCCCACCCTCCCAGGTGGAAATCGCGCCTCATTCCTGCGCATCGCCTCTGACGTGGCTGCTGTTGCAGCAAGGAATAAATGCGCCGCGCGGGGGGAAGAGAGGTCCCTCGCGGGGCTTTGCGTGGGCTCCTCCGCGCCACGGGGTGCCCGAGGTCGCCAGGGGGTGCCCCAGGTCGCCACGGGGCGCCCAGAGTCACCGTGAGGTGCCCAGAGTCCCCTCGGTGCCGCTCTTGCCCCCACGCTCCCGTGGGCCTCCCATCCTGCCGCTTGGGCACGAGAATCAAAAATGCCCTTCTGTGCCCCTTTCATATCATATCTCAGTGGCTGCACATCCGCTTTGCCACTGAAATTTATGTGGTGGTTATCGGGTATTTTTATTTCTCCTTCCGTGTTTCCTTCCTTTTTTTTTTTTCCGTATTTTTTTCCGTTTAACACAAGAGGTTTTTCGCATCAAAATACTTTATGTATTTGATTTGGCAGCTGCCTTTTCTCCCAGTGTTTTTGCAAGGTTGAACCAGAGTGGAGAGCGTCACCTTCAGACTGTCAAGTCTGTGGAGCACCATGGAGAGGCAATCAGAAATACACATTTTGACTTACATTTAGCACTGTGTTAATTTGTTTTAAAAGTAGGAACTGGAACAAAGCTAAGAATAGAAGGTATAATTATTTTTATAAATAGCTCTCTGCAAGAATTATTGCTGCAAGGGATATTTTGGTGTGTTGTGCTTGCCTTTCTTGAGCTCCAGCTTTTGAAATGGGTAATATTAACATTCTGTTTTGTATCTTCCTGACGGTGATAAATATTGATAATTCTGAAGGTAGTTATTTAGTTGTATCCAAAATCTGTTTACCTGAAAACGCATTTGTCTCCCTTTTCAGGGCATGCAAAGCCCTTCTAGGATATCGAAATATTTATAAACTGTAAGAAAAGCATCAAGGATCATTCACTCTTGTTGAGCTCATCAAATGAGAAGCGGATAGCGTGGATGGAATCGTTTCTCTAAAGAGTTACGGTAGGGAGGAAGACGAGCATTGGAAATGGAAGAGTTTCTGAATGCAGGAATTATGTGTGTGAAGACAGTGAAGTTTCTGTTTGGAGCCTGAGGGCGTTAGCGCATGAGCTCCTGTGACTTGAGGTTAAGCACAGTTGGCAGAAATGAAGGTCTACGGGCTGCCGAGGCCGCCCGTGCGTTGGGTTCGTGGTGTGAAGCCTTCGCTGCTCTGGCAGCTCTTGTGCTGTTTTTTTCTCCATGCAGCAGCTTGAGCAGAGGAGCGAGGTGAACAAATTCTTGAAAAAATTAGTCCTGCCAATACCATAAAAATGTCGAACTTGCTCATAGAGGTACTCTGGCTGCGGAGTTACATGTATGAACCTTAATTTTCTCCCTTAACCGAAGTGACAGGAGTCTGTGCCTAGGAGCAGGGACCGTCGTGGGCAGCGCAGCGAGAGCCACAGCGACCTGGTTGGCCCAAGGAGGCAGCGGCAGCGTTTCTCTAGCAGCCTCCAGGTCTGTTTACCCAGTTCGGCTGAGCTGGAAAGACAGGAATGAGGATGAGTATGAAAAGCAAAAAAGTGAAAACTGCCGTGGAGTTGTCCCCATGACAGCTTCAGACCTGAGGAAGTTTAGGTTGGATGCTCTTGGGTCTGAATGGACCAAACCAGTTTAATCTCAGCTTTCAAATAGTTTGGAAACAGGTTTTTCAAGGTAGCCAGGCCCGGTGGACTGTTCTGTAAATAATAAACCCATCACATGCTAGGACTGTTTTATACAATAAAAAATGATGTTAGGGTTTAGGTCTCGTATTATTAGTCATCACTGCAGAGGGGAATGGGCTAATTGAAGATTTGCATTTCGAGGTTTAGGGTTGCCTGTCCATCACTGGGGATTTTTTTGCCCCAAGAGGGGAAAGAAAAAAGCCAAACATTTGTTTCTGTAGAATATAAAATAGAGGTTCTTGGTTCTTGCCATAAATGAATCCCAATATTGATCCACTGGTTATTTACCCTGGAGAGGAGAAGTTTTGCCATTTTATCTGGAGAGAGGCGTGTGCCCTGGCGGAAAAGGAATCCAGGGGAAAAATGTGGTTCTTCACCAAGCAGATGTTTTTCTGCTTTGCCTTTTTTTCCAGTGGGGACTTGGGTGAGTTGAACCTAAACTATCCCGGGTAGAGCCAGCAGATTCTCCGGTCTGTGGTTCTCCATCTTAGGCCACATGTGGATGTAGAGAGGAGTGAGCTCCATCCGGGTGTGAAACTTGGCTCCAGAAGGTCCCGATCCACAACATATTTTATGTGTGTGATATTTAATAGCTTGTATTTAATTTATTGAAGAACTGAGGCCCAATAGTCACCAGCAGGATAAGGGATTCCTCAGAACTGCCGAGCGGATGTGCTGACAACGTTGGCTGTTAAAATTATTTTAGCAGTGGGATATAAACACTTACAAATCTGAAGTAACCTGAAGGCTTTTTTCCTGCTTACATGGGAAAAGGGTTAGGAAAAGCTATTCCTTAGTGACTTGAACACAGGATGTTGGGGGTAGTGATTTATTCTTACCGGGAAGAGGTGATTCATGTAATTTACCTATGAAATTACCATGAAGTAAGGATACATGAGAACAAAAAGGTCACAAGAAAGTAAAGTTCTCAGAAAACTTGACAACCAAATATTGACAACAGAAGTAATCAGATGTAAACTCCTGTAGTTATTCTTGCTACTGTCTTTTGCTATTTAGCAATTCACAAATTCAGGTACAATTCTGGGATCGCATGGAGTTTGCTGCGGGGGTTTAGGCTTCCCATTGCACATATTTCACTAAGAATAATGGTAACTCGTAGTGAACTCATCATGGTAGCATAACGAATGCCATTCATATCCCGGGATTTTCCGCAATACTTCCTTTTTTCTGGCATGTTCATGCAAAATTTTCTGCTCCTGGCATCCAGGCTGGCAAACAGTACAATCTGGTGGCGTCTCAGATGGGGCCTGCTGGAAATTTGCTGGATTTGCATTGGAATTCCATCAAAACAGATGCGTTTCCATTGACTGGTGTGATTTAAATGAAGTGTCACTGTGACAGTAAAAGGAGCACTTGGTGGCAGAGCGCTGGGCACGGAGGCCTTCAAGCAGCCGCAAGGACGTGTGCGGTTCCTCTCTTTCCATCTTTGGATTTGTGTGGCTTCAGCTGGATATAAACGCAGGGAGAACAGGGATTTGACAGGGAACAACAGGGCTGCGGTGCCTGGAAGGAATGTCTTATAACCTAGCCTGGAATTCTGCAGAATTTGGTCTGCAGAACTTGTATTGCTGGCTGCTGAGAGAGAAACAACCAAAAACCAAAAAACCCCAAGAATATGCTTAGCTAAAGTGAGGCTTCACGAGCATTTGCGAATGTCTTATAACCTAGCCTGGAATTCTGCAGAATTTGGTCTGCAGAACTTGTATTGCTGGCTGCTGAGAGAGAAGCAACCAAAAACCCCAAGAATAAGCTTAGCTAAAGTGAGGCTTCACGAGCGTTTGATGCTTGGGTTCATATTTTGCTCATCTGAGTTACCGTTAAGGGCAGCAGAATTGCGTTTAAAATGGCAGCGATTGCAAAATTGGTGCATTTCTGAATAATCAAATAATTAGGGTAGAGCTGGTAAAAATAAATGTTGCTTTCAGACGTGGGTGAAAGCTTCTTCTGACTGTGTGAAGAACCCTGGAATGCTTGGAAAGGTAGAGCTGGTAAAAATAAATGTTGCTTTCAGACGTGGGTGAAAGCTTCTTCTGACTGTGTGAAGAACCATGGAATGCTTGGAAAGGGGAAAATGAAGTGCGTTTGAATTTCCCGTGGATGAAGCTGTGTTACTTCCTCATGATTCATCATGATCAAATGTCACAAATGACTGATAAGCCTTTCAGTATTTGATTTTTAACTTACACGTAAGTCAGTCCTGCCTTGCCAGTCTTCATTTTTTTGAGATATGTTGCCTCATATTTACTTTTTGGCTTCATTTATAAATATTACACTTTTTTCCTGTTTTTTCTAAGGTGAGCTTTCAGCCTGCCTTCTAATTTGTAAAATGTGTAGATCACAGGTGCGTTGTAGAGTTTTATTTTTGTATTGGTGTCTCCATTATCACTCCAGTGTTTGCCTAAAAACTTAAGTGTCTCAAAACTCCATTTCCCAGTGTTTATGGGGTTTTCTTCTATGGTTAATCTTAGATTATTCCTTTGAAAAATCCTAGAATAATTGCCCTTAATTAATGCATTGTCAATGGCTGAAGCAAATGCCAGGGTGGCTGCTTTGCAGATGGATGTTTTGCTTGTTTGCAGCCTGGTTCTGCACTGCTGGCAGCTCTGCCCTGTGCCACGGAGTCGTGTCCATAGTTTTCTCAGTTCAGGTGCTGCTGAACTCATTACAATTTGCAGAGAAAATAACTTCTCAAGATGGTTTGGGTTCAGGTTTATCAGACACTTCCAAGGCTGCCCTGGTCAGAAGGAAAGCGGGTGGTTTTAGCCCATTTTTGGGGGCTCAGAATAAGGTTGAGTCCCTAAGCCAGGAGCAGGATGGAGAAGAAAATGAGCAGCTTGTTTTCACAAAATGCTTTCTGACAGGAAAGCAAGTTTCTGACTAATAACCATGTCTGTTGAGTCAGGCTCTCCTCCACACAGACTCTTCCAAGTCCAAAAGGAAAGGTGCATTCCCAAACTTGGGAATCTTGAGCTCTTAAAGCTCTTCCTTTCCCCTCCTCCGATTTCCTCCTGCTCCTCTGAGCCTTTCTGTCTGTAGCCACAGGTGAAACCCACAAAATTTGTGATTTCTTCCACACGTCGGGATGAAGAATCCGCGGCGGGCTTGGATTAAGCTTGGATTGGCTGTGGGTGAAGCCCATGCGAAATGGGAAAGCCCTGCAGAGTGTGAGGGTGTTCAGAGGGTGCAAGAGACCTTCTTGTAGGTGCTGTTTGCTCGGGCTGAAAAACACCTCATTGCAGTGCTCTGCAATGGGGTGATGGACACCGTGTCTGTCCATCTGAAATGCTCCTGGGTGCTTCTCCTTACCAAATAAATGAGGGCATTAGAAGGTTTTGAATTATTCAGGCTAATTCCAAAACACAAACAGTTCAAGAGCGCCCTTTTGCCAAGACTCTTTAGAAGAGCCCTTGTGTAAAGGTGAAAACTCAGTTTTCAGAAGGCTCCTTGGGAGTAAAATCTTTTACAGGACTAAGTGTGGGGCCTGTGAGGCAGACTATGGGACTGCATTATCAGGAACAAATCAAAGATTTGGGGTGCCTTTAAATAGTGTGTTTGGGTGTTTTGGAGAGACTGAACTCATTTTTTCTCAAAACTTTTTTTTTTAATAAAACTTCCTAAATTACTAAGCCTAAATTACGAGTCTTTTTTGGGAGCTTACACGAGCATCTCTATGTGTGAGACATGTTGTACTCGTATTCCTGCAGATATTTTTCTACTTCAAAATGCTAGACTGGGGAAAATGATTTCCTGTGCAGATATTTCTAGCATGCAGTAAATGTCTCCTCCTGCCATTGCTTCCCAATGGCACCAACAGGATCTTTCCGAAACAGAGCCACAGTTGATATTACACATCCAAGAATTTGTGTGTACCCGTCGTCGTAGCATGTTTGCATTCTTAAAAATAGAAGTATCCATTTATCTTTCTTTTCAATCCACAGCAAAAATAGCCTGATTAGATTGAGAATGTGAGTTTGCATGAGTTAAATGAGGTTTTTTGAATAAATGTGCTCCAATGAAAATTCGTTCCCAACGCTCCCAAGCTGCTTCCTCTGCAGCCACTGCTGGCACCTCTGTGGTTTGGGTCTTGGATCTAAGGGACATCGGTCTGCAGAGGGAGCAGGAAAAGCTTCGGACAGTGGTTTCATGCAGGTGGTTCTCAGCACAAACATCTTGAGTTTGGTGCCTTTTTTCAGCTTAATACATAACGAAATCGGTCTGCAGAGGGAGCAGGAAAAGCTCCAAACGGTGGTTTCATGCAGGTGGTTCTCAGCGCAAACATCTGCTTGAGTTTGGTGGCTTTTTTCAGCTTAATACATAACAAACCAGGTAACAAAAGCAGATTTCTGCCGTGCTGTTAACGGGTGTGTTGTTCTTCTCCACGCAGGAATCTTTGCCTACCTGAACTACCATGTTCCCCGGACGAGGCGGGAGATCCTGGAGACCCTCATCAAAGGGCTCCAGCGGCTGGAGTACCGGGGATATGATTCTGCAGGTACCTTCTCCTCTGGCAGTGGCTCATTTGTGATTTTTGGCTTGTAAATCAGGCTGCTCCTGCTTCGTTTATGAGTGCTTGCTTAAAAACTGAGGTGCAAATTGGATGTTTCTGTGGTCAGATATCTGAATAAACTTTAGATTTACCAATTTTTGTAAACGTTTCTGATGCGGATTATCCAAGCATTTGAAAATAGCAATTAGGCACTGCTTCGTTTATGAGTGCTTGCTTAAATACGAAGAAAACTGAGGTGCAAATCAGATGTTTCTATGATCAGATATCTGAATAAATTTTAGATTTACCAATTTTTGTAAACATTTTTGATGCATGTTATCCAAGCATTTGAAGAAAACAGCACTTAGGCCACAAGGGGGAATTTCATTTTTAATCTAAGGAGCCTCTCACCTTTATTTAGAGATTCAGATGGTAAAAGAAAGGGCATTCTAAAAAAAAATCTGCAACATATTCTCTGCACTTTACACACTCTTTCTTCCTATTTGATAGTGCTGTTTAGGTGTGGGAATTGATGGAGGAAACGACAAAGACTGGGAAGCTAATGCTTGTAAAATCCAGCTCATCAAGCAGAAAGGGAAGGTGAAGGCCCTGGATGAAGAGGTTCACAGTACGTATTGCTCTTGATTTCTTTGCCCCTTTTCCTCCAATTAAACATCAGTTTAACTGTCAAACTGATAAACAAGCACAAAGTGAGGCCTTCTGTGTACTTTCAATTTTAAATGCATTAAGTCTGTGCAGGAAACAAATATAATGTTGTTCTGTGTGAATCTTGCTCTGCTTTCTCTTAATTTTTCAGAGTAGTTGGGGTTTATTGTTTGCATTTTTTTTCCAGGTATCAGTTGTGGTGTTACTAAAGTTTCCTTGGAGAAATTGTATAAATGAAAATGGAAAGAAATTGATTGCATGACTTAACTTGTTTTTGATCAGTGGTAATATTAACGTCACAGTAGAATATCATTTATCCAAAAGAAAGGCTGGGTAGATGAGAGCTGGAAACTGAAAAGGGCAGGTGAGGTGATGGACGCATTTCAACAGCACAAGGTATATAAAATATTTTGAAAAAAAAAATCCTGATCAAGAAAATTATAGGCTATGGATAGTCTTGAAGAGGTTGTAGGGCCCGTATTGGAGCAAAAGGATGCTTTTTTTTCCTAAAAAATATTAATGTTGACATTATTTTTGTTCCAGTGTTGTGGTCTCTGTGGAGCTTTCTTTGAGAGCTTGCAAAGCCTCTGCCTTGGCTATGGGGTAAGGACAGGCCCTTGGTAATCACAACTTGTTATCCTTCTGCCTGCAGAGCAGCAGGATATGGATCTTGACATCGAGTTTGATGTACATCTTGGAATTGCACACACCCGTTGGGCTACCCACGGGGAGCCCAATCCCATCAACAGCCACCCGCAGCGCTCGGATAAAAACAACGGTGAGAATCGTGGCATGACCAAAGGGATGTGTTTGGGCGGGAGCAGTGACTTTTGTTTCGGGCTGTGGTACCAGTCCCAGTTATGCAGAAGCCAGCGGGGCCTTGGCCATCGCCTTGAGCTGTGGGACAGGCTCTAAGGAGCTCTTGGAGCACTGGGATCAGTGTCCCAGAGCCTCCCTGAGCGTATGGCCCCTGTACAAGGAGATATAAAAACCCAGGTTAAGTTGCATGCTAAGTGTTTTACCATTCTTCTTTCTTTTTTTTCCTCTCTTCTCCCATATCACCTTTTTACAGCAGTGGGTTGGTCTGCTCTGTGCTCCTGCAGAACACAGTGGATTGGTAGGACACGTTTCAGCAAGATGATAGCATGAGCACAGTGTTTAATGACCACTAGTAAGTGCGGATTCCTAAATTGCCAATCAGTTGAGAATCTCAGAAAACTTTACAGGATCTAATTAGTCCACCCATATAATTACTAGCTTTTGCCATGACAGACCAACCAAATTGGACAGATCAGGGAAATGGCACCACAGAGTGAACTCTTTATCCTGCTAAGTATAGCCCTGCACACAGTTAAACTTGTGGACTCTGCTCTCTGTTCTGCTTTTGTGCTGCCATCTGGATAGGGAGGCCCTGGGAATGTAATATTTACTGTGTGCCTATTTTAAGATATATAAACCATTTGCCTGTGCCTTGGATGTGAGCATGTATTTCCTCCTGTCTCTAGAATTCATCGTCATCCACAACGGCATCATAACCAACTACAAGGACCTGCGGAAATTCCTGGTAGGTAAAACTGGAGTGTTTGTGCGAGAGGGAATGTGTCTGGAGATCAGTAAATAGCACTGAACAGGCCGTGGAGTCCTTCCACCAGATGGCAAAACACCTGAGAACTTGAAACAGCTCTTCTTGAAGGTCCTTTGAGATGGAACCATCATCTGTTTTTCCTTTTAGAGTTGCAAGCATTGCCGCCGTTCAGCTTGTCATTCAGCTCTGTAAGATGCCCACCATAAATGAACAGGGCTCCTTTATAAGCCTTTATATCCATGCTGCTATCTAAATATGCCAGGTCTTTGCGTATAACACGTGCTCCCTTTCCTCTCCATCCACATGATTAAAATTCCAGCCCAGACACTGATCATTCTGCATCCTCACTGCTCTTGCATCCTGCTCTGACAAATGTGCTGAGGCTGCTGCCTGTCGCCTTTCCAGCACTGCTGAACTTATCTCCATGGCATTTCCCTCCATCTTCCTTTCTGTTCACATTTTTTTCATGTTCTAAATATAGGTGATAACATTTTGGGCAAAGGGATTGCTATCTCTAGTTTGTGCAACACCATTTGGGCAGCAATTAATAGGTATTTGATTGGGACTGAAGGGGATAATGCTGAAAAATAATTAATAGCGTGATTTTTTTGGTTGGTTCCTTTTAGGAAAGCAAAGGATATGATTTTGAGTCCGAGACCGACACAGAAAGTATCGCAAAGCTGGTCAAATATATGTACGATAATCGTGAAAGTGATGACATCAGCTTCACCACCCTTGTGGAGAGGGTTATCCAGCAACTGGTAATGTATTGGGAACATTACATCCCCAATAATGTACTTGGGAAAGGGTGGGAGGAGCAGGGGGATGAGTATTTTTCCTGGTGGAGCTGAACATAAATATACAAGTTTTATCTGAGTGTTTCCAAGTTGGATGCTGTTACTGGAGCGTTGAATCCGACCCACAAATCTATGCCCATCTGTGCCAGGGTTGCAAGAAATCCTTTGGTGTATATGTGTGGGCAGGTTGTTTTTAAAAGGTTTGTTTTGTTTCTTCCTTAATTGCAGGCAGTTAATATTTTGTACATAGACTGAAGGCCAGTAATTTCCACTCTGCTTTAGATACCTGTTCTTTCTTAAGTCATGCAGATCTTTTTCTCATAAATATTTACTAAGTTTTTGCTTTCGATAGTATCTTGAGACAGCCAGTTAATTGAGTAAGGAGAGGACACACGGATGTTTGATATTATTTTCTCTTGCTGTGTGTTTGTGGTGTTTTTTTTGCTTAACAAAGTCACCATTTGAAACGTCCATTTAGGAGAGCGAATTCAGAACCTCATCTGAGCTTGTATTGAGGCTCCCCTGGAACCAGTAATGCAATTAAGTATTTTCTTAAGATCTTTCCTGAATCTGGACGTTATTTACTCCGGATAAACCTCCCGTTTGGAAGAGATGCTGACCCCTTGTGGGAACTCAGTTATAAAGCATGTGCTTCCCTCTTCCATGTGGTGTTTATTATTTGCTGATCTACGCATGTGAAGAGGAGCCACCAGAAATATCCTCTCTTTCCAGAAGTAGCTTATTTAGGAGACAGTTCTTAGCAATTTGTCTGCCAAAAGCTAGAGCAGCTATAGACAAAGGAGCAGCTTTACTTGCAGATTTTGGTGGCAGTTTGTATTTCTCTTCTTCCAGGAAGGTGCTTTTGCCCTCGTGTTCAAAAGTGTTCATTATCCGGGTCAAGCAGTTGGTACCAGGTAAGTGTTGCTGTTGCAAGCAGCGTTTTTCCCGCATCCCACGCGCTGCTCCTGGGCTCTTTCTCCTGCTGGCTGGAAGCTGATAGCAGCAGTGGCAGCCGTGACTCAGC